ACAAAAAAAAAAAAAAAAAAAAAAAAAAAAAAAAAAAAAAAAAACCACAAAACTAACCAGGAAAGGTTGTGACTGACCAAAAAAGCAGGGAAAGGGCAGCCAGAACTTCTCATGATCTCTAATGGTTCCAATGTGTGGCGGCCAGACAGCCATGATAGCCAGATGCTTACAGGTGTGTTGGAGTAAGGGGATAAGAGAAATGCCTGTCTAGACCAACCCCAAAAACTAGGAAAATAGTAACAAAGGCCTGTGGGTTAAAGTTTTAGCATCCAAATTGGTTCTAAAGCCACAGAGCTCCAAGAAGCCCCTTAATCTCAAGTCACAACACTTCCATGGCTGGCATCACAAGGGTTATTATACTCTTCTACCTGCAAGCTACATATTTTAGTAAAAAGCAGGCTCCCCCAGAACACAGACTTTCAATTTATCAATAAATGTGTTTATTTGCAATTTTATGTTTTTGGTAGAAAGTGAACTTGCTAGATAACTTTCTCTGATGTGTGAAATTTGAGTGTAGGAATGGGGCTTTGTCATTGTGAACATTATCTATCTGATTTCTAATTGCCTTAAAAGGTGCAGTAACTTTACCTTCACGTATGTCTCAGTAAGAACTGGATTCTGGAGAAGCCATTACTGGACTGTGGAATGATATCCAACAAGAGTAGAGGACAGGAGCCCGAGTTCCCAGCAGTCACAGGCCAGTGAGCCTCAGGCCTGGTGACTCATCTCATTCTTCTTGGGGAAGGTTTCAGCTCTGTCAGTTTGAGCTTGCCCAGTCCTGTCAGGAAAACACTCTGCCAAGGTACAGGTGTCTGTGTAGAGGTGAGGTATTTTTGTTTAGTTGTTGTGGGCCCAAAGCCACTAAATCTGCTTTAGTAACAATTTTATTCAAGATGTCTGTTAATAAAGAAAGCCATATCTTTATTTTTTTTGAGCAGTTCTTTAATCTAGTTAGCTGAAGAGAAAATTTTTAGTCTATTGGTTAATCACCTTTATGCTGTAACCAGTCAGCTTTGTTCTCTATTGTCCTGTTCACCAGGGTGTGGCCAGCTTCTTAGTTTCCAGATGCTTCACTTTTCCACTCTACGAGATGGCAATAGCAAAAATTTGAATAAAAACTAACAGCAAGAACACAGAATTGATATGCCACCACTACAGTTGTCTTTAACACTATCATATAGTATAATTTATACTGTTAATTCAGATTTCTTGGTACTGACGATTTTCATCATTGCTATATATCTACATATACAGTGTTCCCACTGAAATGGTATATATTCCCTGCACTGCTTTGTCTGAGGGATGATCATGTGAATGTTGGAAGTAAAACCAAGCACTTTCCAAGCCTCAGTCATGAAAGAACACACAGCTGCCCCTTGTCTGCTGGACCTCCGAGCTGCTGTGTATGAAGCAACAAGATGGCCATGCTGGTGAGGTCACTCAAACTCTTTGGATGACAGTCCCTGCAGAGTTCATTTGGGAAGTGGATCCTGAAGCTCCAACTCTGTGCTTCTTTGCTTGAACTCATAACTGACTAAGATACTCCTTAGCTATTAGCGTCCTCTCAGTTGAGTTCCCAGTAATTTCTGGGTCTCTGTCTACACTACTGATCTCAGAGATTATGAGATACATGAATGGCTGGACTGTTTTACCACTAAAGTTAGAGCATTTTTCTGTAGAACAGTGGAGAACATTTGGGAGCTAATGAATGTGAGGCAGTAATGAAATTAAAGGGGAATTTTCAGCATGTCCGAACATCAGAACAAATCTTTTTCTGTGTGCACACTTTTCAATCCATGTGCATTTGGTAGTAATTGCAGCTTATTTTCTGTCTGTGCTAAGTGGTCTGTGTTAATCTGAAAGGCCTGGAGAACACCAGGGCCACATGACCTGAGAGGCCCCTAAGGGAAGCACACCAGCCATGCAGTCTGATTTCCCTCACTTCTGTGCTCCAGAGAACTGAGTGGAAATGAAAGTACTTGGCTCAAACAGACTCTTATCACACTCAGTCTTGTCAGAGCAGCAATGAAGAGGAATTCCTGAAATCAGAGAACTACAAGAGTTCTAGCAAAATGCAGTTGCTTATTCATTAACACTGACTTCCAAATATAAACACTCAGATCTTATTGCTATGAAAGCTAGAAGATAAACAATGCCCATTGAGTTACACAGGGAAGAAACTAAGGCTGAAGGAAACACAGTAGGCTCATCTTGATGGAGTGCTGCATGTCTTTTACCCAGCATTGAGAATTCTCTACTGTATTGAGAATTTTACCCAGCATTGAGAATTCTCTGTTATATAGAGAGAATATTTCTTCTTATATAGAACGAAACGTGAGAATGGAGAGCAGGACACCGAAAGGTCTATCCTCAGCAAACACTGTTCACAGGAAAACTCTATACTGAATTTACTGTTTTATTTCCTTATAGGCACTCTCTCTCTCGAGCTGAGATTGATTCACATGGTAGCCTCGTTGTTGTCATGGTCACTTGTAATGGCCTTCCGATACTGCCCTTAGGGTGCTTGCTCTCATTAAACTGAAGATTCAAATGACTGTCTCAGAGTTGTTTTGGGAAGATTTTTTAAAATTTCCTAATGAGCTTTCTACATAGGCCACAAAGGCCATGGAATGTATTGGTTTTCCTTGGTATGTAGCTGAAGTCAGTGCAAGCGATAACGTCATTTGAATCCTCGTTCTAGCACTGGCAGGAACCTCAGCTTCCCAAGCTGCAGTTCTTCTCGAGTGAGGGAGGCCATCCTGCAACAGACTTGGGAAGATGAAGTCAGGCTGTGTAGTAGGAACACTTTCATGGGAGAATTTTCTTCTTCATTCTCTCCGTCTACTCTTTTTAAGTACTAAGAAATCTTTACTAACAAAGCATAGATGGGCAAATGATTTTCCTCATACCAGCCAAAGACGTTTCATATCTGAAATGCAAATGTCTAACTACCTACGTCCGTCACTTTTAATAACAATTCCAAGATGCCAAGAATTTGTGCCAACATTTTAGAAAATGGATTAATTTCCTGTTTGCCTCGAGCAAGGACAAAGCAAGAAACTACAAATAGAGAAACAGTAAACAATTCATCAACTATGATTTTTTTTAAAAAAAGGCACAAAATTATTTACCTAAGAAGCCACTAACAGAAGCCAAGTGGTCCAGAGGGAGAGCGGAATGTTCACTCACAGAAGCACATGTTTTCCTTGTTCTCTTATTTTCTGCACCAAATGGTTGCAAACCCAGCTCCCCTCATCTTAACCACCAGACAGGCCTCTTCAAGCAAACTGGGCATAAGGTTTTAATTTATGAGGTCTTAGATATTTCTTGGCTGAAACTTCACGAAAGACTACATTATAAGTCCAATGGAAATGCCTGGATGTTGTAAGGGAAGTTTTGTCACTTAGAACACATAATTTCCAACTGGACGCCGACAACAGAATCAACTGGGGAAGAGGAGAGAGCAGGGGCTTCAGCATTGATCCTTTTCAGAATGAAGACAAGCACTCAGCAAAAGTCTTACCCAATAGCTTCATCTTTGAGTGCCAAGAAAATCTGAAGTAATGTGGATTTACTTTCTTGGTAAAATTTTAGTGTCATCTTCCCCTTCGTATTTCATATTTCTACCTTAATATGTCCTATGATACTTGTGTGGAACGATTCACACTTAGACCTAATGTACATACCTATCTAAAGTGATTCTTTTTACCATATTTAAAATGCAAATATGAATAAATTACAGCTGCTTAGGTGATAAGTTGGTTTAAGATCTTACTATGAATCAACTATGGGTTCTCTGTGAGGTAAAGGTTATGACAATCTCCTTTGTTTATCTTGATTTTACTAATGGGTGTCAGTGCGATATTTCAATGCCTGTAGTGTGTACTGACTGATTGAACCAAGACATTTTTTCCTGCCTTCCCCTGACTTCCTAATCTCAACAATCCCTATTCTACAGTTAGGTGCAGTTCGTTTATTTATTTGTTTGTTTAGATAGTTAATTTTAACTTTCACATATGAGAAAGTGCATACTGTACCTAAAAAGCTCTTTCACTAAGTTGTGTTAGGGAAAACTGTGAGTGTGCTTATGCGTAAAGGAGGGGATTTTCTTTTAACATTTGTCTATTGATTATGTATACAATGTTCTGCCTGCAGGCCACATGAAGAGGTTACCAGATCTCATTACAGAAAGTTGTGAGCCACCATGTGATTGCTGGGAATTGAACTCGGGACTGCTGGAAGAGCAGCCAGTGCTCTTAACCTCTGAGCCATCTCTCTAGGCCCAAAGAAGAGGATTTTCAAAGAGTTATAAACTGAAGTTCTGAGTATGAATGAATGCAAGAAGCATCTCATCAATGCTAAAAAAGTATTTATGTCAAAATGAAAATGGAAGAGACATTTGTTTTTAGAATTGCTGCAAAAACATACAGGTGTATGTGGAGGAAATGACTCAGTGAGTGAAGTTCTTGTGTAGGGGGCCCCAAAGCACAATGGAACACGCTTTGTCTTTTTCCTGAGACACTTACATGATCTAGAGGAGTCCAAGCTGATGCAACTTTACAATACATTAGGCCCACTCAGCTTTTCCTAAACTGTATTCTAAAGGGCATTAATGTCAAGCAGAATATTGATATGATCTCTCTCTCTCTCTCTCTCTCTCTCTCTCTCTCTCTCACACACACACACACACACACAC